GTCATTAGCACCTCTAGTAATATATTTACTGAGAAAAATGGTGATGTGTTAAATACTTATTTTACCTGCTGTATATATCTTCATGTGTGTGTTTGTTTCTGTAGGTGTGCAGCCAAGATGTCTGGTGTGTTGTCTTGTGTTTTCTTGATAAATATTACTCAAATCTTCTAATCTCTCTTTCACTCTTTCGCATTACATTTCACTTTTTTCTTCTTTCTTTTTCTTCTTTAAAAAAGGTCACTGATGATGAAGAAACTAAGAAACTAATATTCAGTTTTGTTTTCTACTGAAGTGGCTTAGAGGGAAAAAAAGAGTGAAGTCATCTGACTACCTGAATATACTGAATGACCAGGTTATTCCATCAATGATTGTTTCTTCCCTGATGGCACGGATATAACCCAAGAAGACAATGCCAGGATTCATGGGGCTCTTACTGTGAAAGAGTGGTTCAGGGAGCATGAGACATCATTTCCACACATGGATWKGCTCCACAGAGTCCACTGAGAGTCTTTGGGATGTGCTGGAGAAGGTCAGACTCTACCATCATCAATGCAACCTGTTGGTGAAAAAATTAATACAACACTGGATTAAATAAATCGGCTGACATTATAGAAGTTTATCCAAACAATATCACAGAGACTGTGTGTTGTAATCAAAGCTAAAGGTCCAACCAAATATTACAGTGTGCGACAGTGTTTTGGCCGGGCAGTGTATTTTGTGTGTGGTTGTTTAGATCTTTTTTAGGCACATTATCTGCCATGTTTGCCTGAAGCTGAATGTTGTTCAGTTTCATTATTCAGCTTTAAACCATAAATGCTCAAACTCATGCGTGGAACCTGGTGCACATAACCTTTCTGTGTGTGCACYGTTGACTCATGAGGCCCCAGGTGCTGAACTGGCCTACCTACAGTTCAGACCTCTCACCAAGTAAAACCATTTGGAGCAACATGAAACAAAGAAAGCCAGCAAAGAAGATCCAGCACTATTGAGCAGCTAGAATCCTACATCAGACAATAATGGGACAATATTACCCGCCAGACATTCTAGTTTCTACATTTTTACAATCTGTTGTTAAAAGAAGAGGGCATTCTACATACTGTGATGGACTTCAGACCTGTCCAGGGTGTWCCCTGTACCCTCAAACTGTGACTGCTGGGTATGGGCACCAGTGACCCTGAAAGGAAGAAACAGGTATAGATAATGGATGGATGAATGGATTCTACATAAATGAAACTGGGACAAGTGCTTTAAAATGTGTTGTTACCATCAAATTCAATAGTACCTAATGCTCACCAAATTTTTTTAGTTAAACATTTAAAATGCTTACTATTTTCTATTGTATTTAAAATAAATTTAAATTAGTAAATCATTGCATTTGATTTATTTACATTTTAAACAAAGTCTCAAACTTTTTTAAAATGGGAGTTGTTAGACCAGACCAGACCCGAATAGAATAGAATAGAATAGAAAAGAATAGAATAGAATAGAATAGAATAGAATAGAATAGAATACCTATTATACAGATATCCTGATGTGTTTGTTTCCTCCTGATGTCAAAGTTAAGCTCTGATCCTCTGGCGGCTGTAATCCTCTCTCCACATGACTCAGTCACAGACGGGCCTGATTAATGCTGATAATGCTTTCTACAGCTGTTACCATGCTAAATTACAACCAAACACTTTACTCTACTCTACTCTACTCTACTCTACTCTACTCTACTCTACTCTACTCTACTCTACT